GTGTTTCTCATCCTTGGCAAGTTTAAGATATGTGGACTTCAACTCCCAGAATTCCCCAGCCAGCCATGCTGGCTGGGGAATTCTGGGAGTTGAAGTCCACATATCCTAAACTTGCCAAGGATGAGAAGCACTGATCTATAGAATTGGCTGGCACAAGTTCTGACGATGGCCAAAATATTTAAAATAGGATGAGACTGAATCACAGAAGAGGTTTTTTAGTGGCTTTAAGTCTTTATGTAATCTTCAGTTGCTGGAGAATCTAAGGAGGGGTGTATTGTTATCCACATATCTGTTCTTAGCTTTGCAAAGGTTTCTGGTTGCTTAGTGTGAAAAGTGGAATCCAGGCTCAAATAAGCCTTTGACCTAACCCTGCCAGAATTTTGTAGCCCCCCCCTTTTTTTTAAGTGCCATTATCTTGCAGCTTGGCATCTACAGTAGCTATCATTAGTGACGTTGTATACTACTCAGGCTGTGCATGCTTTGCTAATGACTAACAAGTGCTTTGAACGTTGCACCAGCCCAGCCCCTGTGTTTGCAGGCACTGTGAGAATCTGAATTAAGAGTTGCCTTGACTTTAAGCAGTGGATTCCTTAAAACTGGCAGCAGTATTTTATTTTTTCAGGCTCATGAACAAGTCTGCAAAAGACTGGGCTGCTTTAGAAATAACCAAGGGAGCAGTGCTTCCATGAGGTCCAAACCACTTCTTCTGAATTATTTTTGAAATGTGCATATCCCCACTAAATATACAATGAGGCCCCTAAACCAGTTGGAGCAATTCCAAGGGAGGAAAGCCAGAAGCCAGGTCTTCCGGTGGGGGTGGGGTGGGGTTTAAAAAGAAGTCAAGATGGCACCATGCAATGGAAGACCCATGCCTTTTTGACATGGGATGCACCTAAAAAGGGTGGGGCTTCAGTCACAAGCTTCGTCTTGACCTTTTTTTAACTTCTCCCAGGGGACCCCCCATCTTCCTTGATGGTGCTATTCTATAATAACATTTAAGCCTCTTTGGAGTCCCTCAGATAAAAAGTCTGGTAAATAAAAAGTCTGGTAAATAAAAATCTGGTAAATAAAAAGTGGCTTTTCAGAGCAGGGAATTTATTCATGCGGGATGGACACATGGCACTCTTTGGCAGCCAGTGAACAGAACCACCAGGAAGCTTCTACCCAGGGCTGTGTGGATCCTGTGTATTGAGGTTCCCCAGCCGCTCGCACTATTTTGGCAGTCAAAATCTGCAGTCGCAAAATCTACATGGCATCCAGTATGAGAGGATAAGGTGCAGGGCACTACCTGGTTTTGAGGGGAAGCGACAGACACAGATGAACTCCCTGAACCCTCTGCTGGGCCACCTTGAGTGGAACCAGATGGTCCACATTAGGGGCCATGAGAGGACTTGAACGTAAGCACATTTGCAGATTTCCAGCTTTTGTCATTCTGCAGCCTGGCGTGGGAAGAAAGTAAGTGGGGCTGCCAAGAAAAGGACAGAAAGATATTGAGATTTGCTGTAAGCCAGGGAAATAGATGAACGCAAGCAGATTCTGATTTTCCTTCTCCTTTCTTCTTTAGGTGACAGTGCCAGGTGAGGTGGTGGATGTGGCCTGTGGTGTTGATCACATGGTCATTTTGGTTAAATCCTTTGTTTAGCAGTGTTCCTGCATACTCATGCCTGTCCAAATGAGTGGGGAGCCAGATCGTACGAGGCTCTGCTGGGGCACTGGCGCTGGCCTGTTTCCCTGACTGAAGCCAGGAGGACCTTCGTGAGCCAATTCGGAGAGACTTAAGTGTGCAGCAACAGTAGCCCAAGGAGCAGCTGAAGAAAGTGCAAGCGTGGCAGTGGGACATTTATTGCTAACGCCAACTGTCCTGGGTTCTTTCCAAACAAAGCACTCCTGTTTTCTCGGGTAGTGTTAGCGTGTTGCTGCTGTGAGGTCCTGAAACAGCACCAGACAAAAGAATTAGGTCTGTTCAATAGTGAAGGAGGATGTGCTGCACTGCAGGATGACCTGACACTTCCAACAGCTTTGGGAGGTACTTGTGGACCCTCAGTCTATTTTTTTTAATGAACTGAGTCTTACAAGATCACCGAGAATCTCGTAAGATTTCAGCATAATCATGTGAGGTCATGTGAGATCTTATGAGTCAGATTTGGTGATCCCAAAATTTATGAAATTTATGCCATTGTTTAACTAATAAAATTATGTATCTAATGCCAAAAATATTGCTGATCCAACACGTATTTGAGGATAATTCCTGGGAGATGAACCCTGCCTCTAAGTAGCTGTTCCGTTATTGTTCCTTCCTGAAAGAGTTCCTTTCTGAGGCCATTTTCATGGAATTCTTCCCTGGCCTGCCCCTCCTGATGTCATTCCCCCCAAAGGCTGTTGTGCGCTTCCCCTGTCTCAAGATTCCAGGTAGATTTGCTCAGACATACCAAACCATGCATCAGTGCACATGCTCTTAATGCAAGGAGGAGGCTCTCACAAAATTTCCTGGCAAGAGAAACATCATTTTCAGCCTCTGGTTGAGACAATCCAGAGGTCCCAAGTTGGAATTAACTTGAAAGCAGCACACAGACATTGGAAAACTTTTTTTTGTTGTTGTTGTTGGTGGATCAGGTTTGTCAGCATCCCCATTGCTTTGTCTGATGTGTCTGTGAGCAGGAAAACTAACAGCTCCAAGATCTGAACCAGAACAAATGATGAGTAGTCTTAATTGTGGCTTACTGAAACAAGCCAGTTTCAAGCTAAGGAACCTGAAGGGAGATTTGTTTTGCTCATTTATGTTTCCCACTCAAGGTTGAACTGCAGTTAATCGAAATGGAAGCCAGACATTGCTTTCCTTGCAGCTGATTCTTAAAGCTTGGTTAGGAAGCAGGAAGAGCCTTCCACTGAAACTGCTCCCCACCTGCCAGAAGGGATCATAATAGCACTTTACAGGCTTGGAAGCTCTCAGACCAGAAAAAAACATCAAGTCACATTGAATCCTGGAATTTAGTAGCCCTGTCATTACAAGGGAGAGCTGCAGCAAATTCTGCATTGTGGAGTAAAATTAACTGCAATTCTTACCACTATTCCAATGTCTGGCTGCTAAGTTAGCAGCTGCGAAACATATTCAGACTTCATTTGATAGTTCATTTAGAATCTCTCCCTCCTCCCTTCCCCTAAGAATATATTTTAAAGATTTTTGGGTGTTTCAGCAAATCTTAAGATTGCCTCTTCAGCTTGCAGCTAGCTCCTCTTGTGCCTGATTTTTGATGCCAACAATTGGTACCCAAAACATGAACAGAAATGGAGTAGATTATTGTTTGCACCTAGTAGAAAGCAACATGAGCATAAAGAGGGGAGAAAAGATGGGGACACCAAAACTTATTTAAATTTTGCACCAAAGATGTATTGGGAGGCTGCAGAGGGCTCTTAGAGGTATACAATTGCAACGACACAGGAGGTTTTTCTAAGTATTCAGAAATTGTATTTTTCATTTCCAAAACACCACAGCCTGGGCTCAGCCCTTTAAATAATCCTCAATAGCTCAAGGAGGAATTACACAAACAAAAAATCAAAGTACCTTTCCCCCCACCTTGCAGCTGAACCGGATGTAAGACAGTCTTCTCCAACTTTATAGTCTCCGAAGGAGTTGGGGCTTCTGCTCGTAGAGGGGCTGGGAAGTGAAAGAGTTGTAACACCCACATCATCTGGAGGGCTCCAGGTTGGTGAGCCCTTGGGTAACCTGGGCCAGTAACCCATTTTTTACAGACGCTGTTGCACCCCTTCCTGCACACAAACCTCCCCCTCCCAAGCTGGTGAAAAATGAGACATATCATGCCGGTTGAGAATTATAGGTGCTGTAGTCCAGCACATCTGGAGAGCACCGTTACTGGAATAGGTAGAAACAAACGGATGCAAAACGAACTCAGTTTTAAGCAGCCACCCTTCACCCAGACAAAGGAAATGCTGCAGAAATTCTATGTTAGGCTAGACTACTTGGGCAGGCAGCTCAGTCTTGTCTTCTCTGGCTTGTCAAGATCTCAAGCAGGGAAGGATCATTTCATTTGGACCTGCCCTGGAACTTTTCCAGTGTGCAAAATATCCCTGCTGATCGATGTGCCAGTCAGCTCCTATCATCAGTGACATCTCCTTGCAGTTGAAGGCCTCTCTGTTGTGGAGAAACAGAATGCAGGATGGAATATGCTTTTTTTTTGTTTTTTTTGGAATCCAGAAGACTTCCTTTTCATTCCTCATTTTGTGGTTATATTTCCGTATAATAATATGGAGGAAAGCAGAGAGGAACAGAAGTCCCAAGATAGACCCAAACATACATCCAAGGGAGCCTGGGACATACAGGATTAGGCAACCTTTTTTATCATTTGGGAATGCGAGAGCATGTGGTAGCTGCAATTACAAAATGGCTACCGGGTGTGTGTTCATCCACAAAATGGCAGCCACAAATGACATGGGTAATCCCAAATCATCTGCGAGCGAGCAAATAGATGAGTCTGGTATGAGGTTTTCTGCCCGTTAGCTACCTTTCAACTCAAGATTCTGTAAAAGAAAGTCAAACAGGGAAGGAAGCCTGTTGTGGCAACAAGGGAACAGTCTAGCTGTACAGTTAACCATGGTTTTCTGAATTAATCCAATTGTCTATGTCAGCACAACAGCCAGAATTGCAAATTAACCAGCCAGCGTGTGTATTTCACATTCATTCTACTTCCAGCTTGTGCAGACCTTTGTCAATGGTCATCTTAACACACTGATACTATTTTAGCCAAAACTTTGGGATAAAAGGCCATTCACAAATCATTCGTTATATACATTACCTGGTATTTCCATTGATAGAGTTTGTGAAGACTGCCATTAATGAAGATCTATTTGTGGCATTAAACACATTAAGGTTATTCTTAAAGATGGTTTTCCAAAGGATGTCCTAACATGTGTGACCTAGTGTCCCCCAGTACATTTTGATTTGGTTTCAAATCCAGAGCTTTCTATTCCTCTGTTTTCCTATCAATGGATGTTTTACTCTTTTCTTCTACTTCCTTCCCAGTAAAAACTGGAGCATTCAATTTCATTCTTCAGCTGAACCATTAACAGCACAACCAGAAGTGTTCCTGAATTTCATACTAACTAATGTGTGTAGGACTATAGTTTAAAATGGTTGGTTTACTCAAGAGGAAGCAACGCAATTCAACATTTTCCTCTCATAAGTATGCTGTTCCACCATCGATTCATAGTCTTTTGTCTCTCTTTCCCTGAAACTCATATATTGGCCAACCTTTGCACAAAAGGCTAAAATTGAATTGCTGAGAAATCTTGCTTCTGGTTGCTGACCAGCACCCTGGCACTGCCCAGCCAGGTTGGGTTACCTTGGAAGCAGCAGCTGGCAGAGCACAGCTGCCAGCATCTGGGAGGACAAGAGCCACCCTTTTTCATTGGAGGCAAGTCAGGGCCAGGACAAAGACCACTGTACACTTGGTTTGGTTTAATTTAAATGAACTTAATTCTGTTCCATTCACATGATTACTCCCTACATATTAAACAAGTTTCCCTATTGGTCACATTAACAATCTTAATTTAGTGAGCGGCAATGTTTGGAAGAGCTATACATGCTGCATCCGAGGCTTTGGGGGGCCATGGTTTGAGCCCCTGGGCTAACATAACCACAAACTTATCAGAGTGGAAAATCTTAGTGTTATATCTAAACATGGGCTCTGGCTTCTTGCTCTTCTAATCAGACCAGCTTTGTAAATCAACTCCAGACTGGGGATTTGCTAGAGCAGGGACAAACCAAGAGATACGGGGCTGGGCATGAAGCTTAATCAGGGCTCAGCAACCTTTTGATGAGACAGATCTAATCACTCGTGATAGCAGGGACACACACAGAAAAAGAGATGGATTTTGGCATTGTCACCTGAACTCTCAAGGAGATCTTATGAAATCTTGCTAGATTTGGCCATTGCAATTGAAATGTCTTTAAAGAGCTGTTTTGAATTTTATGGACACCAACGAGGAATGCCACAGGCCGAAAGGTATCCGTAGGAGCTTGTGGCTGACTCCTTGAAAAGCCACGCTGGTTGAGGAATTATGAAAATTGAAGTCCAACACATTCACAAGCCCCGGTTGAGAAATGCTACGTGAAGCCTTCCTGTTCCAGTCATTTCTGGGTACATTACCCAATCTGGCTAGCAAGAGGATCCAAAGGAGCATGAACGCGCTGCTTTTTTCTGATCAATTGGAATCATCGGCAATTCCAGCTTCCCATTTTCAGTGCGAATACGACCGTAGCGTATGCCAACTACACCAACCAAAGGAAAAAAACAAACAGCGTAATAGTGACATTTCGCTTCAGAGCTGAATGCCAAAAAACCTTCACAGTGCTTTAATCCCAAAGATTCTTTCTTCATCTCCTCCCTGCCTTGAAGATATTTTTATTACTATTTCGTAAAAAGCTATTGGGAGTTAATTGCCTATGCAATAGTCTTTTGTTTCATCACTTCTTCGTGGCATGACAATATTTCTCCCATGCTCTCTTTGGAGTAAAAAAAAAAAAAGAAGAAGAAGAATCTCCCACCCCATTCCAAGGAAATACTGAGAAGAATTCTTTGTCATAAAATACACCTGGGTCCCATTCCGAAAAAAATCCTAATATTTTTCAGGTTGACTGACTTGGAGTGCATTGATAACACCGTTGATATTTTCTTCTGGTACCTGTGGGGAAAAAGAACAAAAGGAGGCTCAAGATGGTAAACTGGGATTTGGGATTGCTTCTGCTGACCAGATTCAGCCAATCTAGTGTGTTCATGCTGTGCTGTTCTGGGTCCCCAACAGGAGTGGGAGCTCCAAGGTGGCCCCCATGTTATCAAATGCTTTGCGTGTGTGAGGTATGGGAAGCCCCCATCTTGCTTGCATTTTGCAGAGCAGGGAAGCCGTTCTGCTCTAATGGACTGTTGGTGTGGATGGTGGATCTGGGCCATGTCTTTTGGCTTATCATGTTATCAAATGCTTTGCGTGTGTGAGGTATGGGAAGCCCCCATCTTGCTTGCATTTTGCAGAGCAGGGAAGCCGTTCTGCTCTAATGGACTGTTGGTGTGGATGGTGGATCTGGGCCATGTCTTTTGGCTTATGTTGCATTAGCTTGGGTTTATTTTTCTAGTATGTTGTTAACTACTTTCAGTTCTTGGAAGTAGGCAGTATTGATAAATTGTAATTCTTTTGGATTATGTTATGATGGTTTTATTCTTCTATTATGTAAACCATCTTGTGTCATTAGAAGTAGGCGGTATAAATAAGTTGCAATAAATAAATAAAGTTTAACTGAAATGCAAAGTTCTAAATATGAGAATTCATAATGAGCCAATTTGGGGTAGTGTTAAGGTGCTGGTTTGGAAACTGGAAGACTGTGAATTCTAGCCCTTCCTTAGCACAGAAGCCAGTTAGGTGATAGAGGTAGTCCTCGCTTAACGACCACAATACGGACTGTAAAAATTGTTGTTAAACGGGGCAATTGTTAAGTGAGTTGCACCTGATTTTATGACCTTTTGGGCAGTGGTCATTAAGCAAATCATGTGGTAATTAAGCGAATCATGCAGTTGCTCACTGATTTTGTTTGTCAGAAGCCGGCTGGGAAGGTTGCAAATGGCGATCACAGGACCCCAGGACACTACAACCGTCATACGTGAGCCGGTTGCCAAGCGCCCGGATTGTGATCATGTGACTGTGGGGTGCTGCAACAGTTGTAAGTGTGAGGACTGGTTGTAAGCCCCTTGGTTCAGCACCATTGTAACTTTGGTTGCTAAATGAATGGTCATTAAGTCTGGACTACCTGTATTGAGCTGATCTCTTTCTCTCTCAGCCCAATCCACCTCATAGAGTTGTTATAGTGGGAAGATGAGGGAGCATTATATACAGTGCCTTGTATAAAATAAAGGTGGATATAAGTGTAATAAATAATAATAAATAATTTAAGTGGGCACTGTGATGTCCTTTTGTAGGACATACTTAATGTCTAATCTGTTTTCTAATCATCTGTTTAAACATATTTTAGGCAACTAATCATATAAATGATTTTTTGCATGGAATACATCAGTCTACAAATATTTCTGATGATAGAAATGTGGAGTGGATCCAGAAACAGTGACACTTAAACCAAGGAAATGAATGGAAGCTAAGTATGTTATGACCCGCTCATTTCAGTGAGTCTACTATATTTTGAATAAACCTGGCTCCAACCCATCATTTTTAGATGCACATGTCTTAGTAGAAATTTAGACCATCAATAGATTGTCTGCATAGGAAGAAGAAAATTAAAAAACCCACAACTTTGTATTTCCGGCCACTGCTTGCATTCCCTGATCTGGAGCTCCCCTGTGTTTTCATTGAAGTGTGGGAAGGTAAGGAGAATTATGCAATGAACTGGCCCCTTGTATCAAAGGTAAGTGCAAAAGCTCTACACTCCCCATATTAACAGTTCACAATTTTTTCTTCTCCTTTTGGAAGGAGAAGATAAACAACTTACTTTTTATTGAGCCAAAGGAGAATGATCAAACCCAAATCTGGAATAAATATTTGGTGTTGCACGAGCAGGAATGAAATATGCACAGAGAAGGATTCTACCTTAGCCTTCTTCCTTGCTTTGATAAATTCTCTGCCTGGAGCTTATTTATGGGTAGACGAGCATTTAGTAATGTGAGCCTCCACCTGAACAGGTAGGACCCAGATGCAGATGTTATCACATGAGTGAGAAATAGGTCAGTGTGTTAGTTTTGAGACAGGAGTTGATGGGCTTATCTCATTGCTATGGTTAATGTTCAAGGAAAGTAAACCCAATGAATCTAATCATTTGACCTTCACTATCTGAGATCATGTTGACTTTCTGCTGTTAAGTATACACGACGGCTTCCAAGCTGGAAAAAGAGGGTGATGCTAATAGCAAAGAGAGTAAAAAAGGAGGAGCAATTTTGGCTTTTCTGCTTAAGCTTTTAATGGGTTAAAAGGTCAGGCAGTGGAAAAAAGCTTAATGCGTTGTTAACAGGAAAAATAATGGACACCCCCATGAGAATGGGGTGGGGGGTGGAATACATAATACCTGGCTTGAAAAGCCAGTTCCATTAATTTGTCCAGGCCGTGGTGTCAAATAAAGAGAAAAACTGTTGAGAACTTGTGTTAGAAAAACAAAAACAAAAAACAAAACTCCCCATAGTGACTAGGTAAAGGACTGTAAGCAAACAGGGACAAAACAAATTCTGCATTGAAACTTGCTGGGAGTGAATTTGCATGCATCGTACCCATGAGATTTATGCTGAACGAATGCGAGGTGGACAAAATTTGGCTACAGTTGGTTCTTCCCTGGGGAAAAAAATGTTTTACATTTCCTTTTTAAAGTGTACAGCGTGGCTGAAGATCATTCCAGGAGGCACTGGGGAAGAAACCTGCATTCTTCAAAGAGCCCCAAGGTTTTGCAAGTGTGCCTGGCTTTTTAATGATTAAGGAAAGAGGAACAAAAGTCCCATAACCAACACACATACTTTTCAAAAATAAATCCAAACTTCTTTCTAATTTCTTTTTTTTGGGGGGGGGGGTTACATTTTTTTAAAAAAAAAGGCAAATCAGTACAAAAATGGATCGTCATCCCTACTGACAAGGGAAATTTGAAAGGTTTTGAAGCTTCCGGTGGAAAAGCCAAGAGATCAGGAGAATTTTTGTTCGGTAGCTTCCCTTTATATATCCCATACAAATAAGCAACACAAGAACTCTGGAGCCCCCCGGAATTTTTTTCTGTCTTATAAGGAAGATTAAGGAAATGCCTGGGGCTTGGTTGAAAAAAACACGATTCCAGCATCTCCAGGTA